TACTGACACTCAGCTGACCCCGTGAAGATGGCCTTGAACTCCTGCTGATTTTCTTGACTTTAGTGCACTGCTGAGCTCCAGAATAAGAGCCCAAAGTCCTAAGTTTTGGTCCCCATTCTATTGCCAACAACCTGTAGGGTCTTAGACAATTCACTTAAATTTTTACCTCAGTTTATCACCTATAAAATGGGTATAGTATTCAAAGGAGATAATGCCATTTGCCCTATGAATGCTATAAACATAAATGTGGAGATTACTGTTATTGGAGTGGGAACCTAAGGGTGACCCACTTTGCTCAAGTTATGGACCTTTCATGGGTCCCAACATTGCTAAAGTGTTTCCATGAATCTCCTGGAGAGCTGCGGGAGGCCTAGGAGTTTGGTCTATGAGAAACAGGTAGTTTTCTCCTTAGTTTTACCTTATCTGTGTTCACCATGGTGGCTGTGGCCCAGGAGAGTTTATTTAAGTGACAGAAAATCAGTGAAAAACTCTCAGAGGAAAGCAGAGAAATGCTGGGATTTGGGGACCCAAACCAGACACACACACAAAAAAAAGCCCCAGAGGAAGGACAGTCTTTATTTTTTAATTTTTATTTTAATGAAAGTGCTGGGGATTGAACCCAGGACCTTGCGCATGCTAAGCACACATCCTACCACTGAGCTGTGCTCTCCCCTTGGGCATAGCCTTTAGAGCACTTCTTTCCTCTCTTTCCCATGAACATTTATTGAGCCCTTACTGTGTGCCAGGCACTATGCTAATGAATCTAGATCAGTCTGTGTACAGCCCTCGCCTTGACTCCACGCTGGATGAGGGGTGGACAACCATGCAGGGACGTGACTGGACCGGGCCCAAAGCTGGCAGGTCAAGTGTTGCAAGCCAGAGTGCAGTCACCTTGCCTATTCCAAGTGTCTCCCACAGCCCGCCAAGATTCCTCTGACCTGGTCTGAAGTCCCTTCCCTTCGTAAGTACTGGGTATTGCGCCAACAACTTTGTGTACATTGTCTTATTTTCCCAGCAGCTCAAGGGGGCAGGGACTATGATACCACTTTACAGAGGAGGAAACTGAGGTTTGTTCACTTGGCCAAAGTTATACAGTGAGTTAGCATCGGAGCCTAGACATGAGAGCCCCTCTCCTCCTTCCTCCAGCCAGCACTGCAGCTCTTCTTCCTGCCCTCCCCTAGGATCCTCGAATCCCTTTGCTAGTGCACACACACTCCCACACACATCAGAAGCCAGAAAGGCCTGAGAATTTACCTACTCCTCGGGTGGCCCCATTACTAAGACTGTTATAAGGTGCCAGGGTATCACAGCCCAGCTTCTTTGCCTCTTGTTGGGACGACTCTGGAATGTATCCTCCAGAGGTCCTCTGCAGGATTAAGCCAAAGTGACTTTGTGTACGACTTTTGTCTTGCTTGGCTTCCTCCCCCGCTCATCTTACTCCCCCCCGACCCCTAACATATCACTGGCTATGGAGGGTTGGTTTCCGGAGGATCCAGTTACCCAGTTAGGTATTGGCTGAGCCAGGGCAGGACGTTATTCAGTGACTAATTCCAAGAGAGAATTCAGAAGCAGTGTCTAGCAATGACAACCTGACCAAGAGTCCAGATGACCCCAGAGGTCCTAATAATCATGTCACATGGGACACAAAAAATACATAGGCTTCAAAAGAGCCCCTCAAAGTGCAAGGCATTGAATTAGACAATTTATATACCTATCTCATTTAATATTAAAACATCTTTCCACTAGACTTTTCCAGTTTTCATTAGAATGTTTGAGATCACACAGATTCAACAAAATTCACCTTTCACTAATCTTAAAGTCACATTCTAGATAAAGGAGCTTTTCTAAATTTCACCTTGGTAGGACTCCAGTGATAGGTTGCCTTAGTTACATGAAGCTTCATTTGACCCCATTATCCCTGCCCATCCTCTCCTGCTAAATGTCCTCTTTCCCGTATATTCATATACGTGACATTCATGTGGGTGACATTCACTTTACCCCCTGAGATGATTGCAGATCTGGGTGACCCGACAGCACAGTTCAAAGTTGATGTCCTAGAGCTGTGCTGCCTAGTACAAGTGGCCACCAGCCACATGTGGCTGTTGAGCATTTGAATTATGGCTGGTTTGGATTGAGATGTGATTTAAGTATAAAATATACATGGGGGATTTTTAAGACAATATGAAATGAAGAATGTAAATTACCTCATTAATACTAAAATATTTATTGCATGTTGAAAGGATAGCATTTCTATATGTGTTGGGTTAAATAAAAGATATAATTAATTTTATCTCCTATTTTTTACTTTAAAAATTGTGGTTTCTAGAAAATTTTAAATTACACATATAGCTTGCATTATATTTCTGTTGGGCAGCACTGCTCTAGAGACTCAAAGGGGAATTTAGGGAGTGAGGTTGTCCAACTCCTCCCAGGAAGACAGGCTGAGCTGAAAAGAAAATGTGTGGTTGCCATGATGGCAGGGCTCTATGGAATCAGGAGGCAGCAGGTGCGTGCTTCATGATCTCATCGCTTCACAAGGTGCACGGTTCTGCAGAAGGCTCTGCGCGCCTCTGACCAAGACAGTTTATGGCTGAGGGTCATCTGGCTAAGTGATATCACTGCTTCTCTGGTTTCAGGCTGGGATTTGTTAACTTTGCAGAATTCGCATTTGCTCTTTGTGTTGTGCTGTCATGTTCTTGCAAGGGGATGGGGAGCTGGCCATGTGAGGGAAGAGAGAAGAGGAGAGAAAAGAGTGGGAGGATTATCGTTGATTAAAACAGAGACAGGAAGAAGGACAGAGGGAGGAAGAAGTTCTCACTGGCTAAAACAAAGGGTTCAAAAATCAGCTTGCCGAGTGATTTCTTCCACTTTCTGTTTTTCTCTCGATTTTCTCAGTCTCTTGGTCTTGGTCTTGGGTCTTTTATGGCCATCATAGACTGTTCTTTGTGCATATGTGTCCCTGCTAGTTTGTGAACTACTTAGGAGGTGGGGGAGCTAGACATTGCTTGTATTAGTCAACTTGGGCTGCCGTAACAAAATACATTGGACTAGGTGACTTCGACAACAGAAATCTATTTTCTCACCATTTTAGAAGCTGGAAATCCAAATCAGGGTGCTAGCATGGTCAGCTTCCAGTGAGGGCTCTCTTCCTGATTTATAGATGAACACTGTGTGCTCACACAGTAGAGAGAGAATTTCTCTCTTTTCCTTTTCTAATAAGGACATCAGCTGTACTGGATAAGGACCTCATATTTATGATCTCATTTAGCCTTAATTACAAAAGCCCTAGCTACAAAAAACAGTCACATTGAAGGTTAGGGCTTCAACATAGGAATTTTAGGGGGACACACTTCAGTCCAGAGTACCACCAAATACTGAAATCCCTTCCATTCCTAGCCCCAGTATCCTATGCAGAGTGAATGCATGATGAACTGAAAGAAACTGAATTCCAGAGCTTCCAAAGAGTTGTTTTCATAAGCTGTGCTGTCCCAGCCTGTGGGGCTGCTGGGATCCCACAGCCACTGGGAGGGCAAGAGAGAGTGAACAGGTTTTTGTGGGAATGAGGCTGAGGGAGTTGTCTCAGCTGCAACTGTAAGGATCGGCCTCATGAGCCTACTGTCTACAGTAAGACCATCATGAGGCTGCTGTTCATCCCCAAGAGAAGTTCCATCTAGTTTTCAGTGTTAAGAGCAACAGAAATTCTTCTGAGTCCTTGGATTTGTGAACTGTGTAACTGACCAGATGGTCTGTCTTTTGCGTTGGTCAGGTGTGAGGCTCATCTGTAATGACAGCACAGTGGCCATTGTGATGGGCACTTCTAGCCGTTTTCATAGATTATCTTCATTTCCCCACTCATTTTTTTTTAATCTTCTTTCTCCTCTACTTTTAATTTATGCAATCTTATTATATTTTAGGTACCATTTAAGTTTTCAGAATTCCATAAGTCTTTTCAGAAACATGGTAGGGCTTTACATCCATTTTAAGAATAAATAACATTGCTCATATAGTCCCTGAGAGAGATTGACAGTTCAAATATCAAAGCCCAGGAAGCATGATAAATTCACATATGAGCCTAGTATGAGGTGAAATAAAACCCTCTATATCTCTATTTATCTATTAGTTATTGAGCTAATTCTTACAATAAACTTTAAAAATAGCTATTAAAATCACCACCATTACATGTTGAAAAAACTGAAGTTCATGGAGATTAAGTAATATGCCCAAGTTCTGCGCTGATGGAACTGGTGTTGAGTCCTGGTCCATTTGATGTCAAAACCAACATCTTTTCCATCCTGTTCCCCTGCTTCCAGAAGTCCAGTCCTAGGGAGGGAACAGGAGAGGCATAGTCCAGAGGCAAGACAGAGTAATGACCTTGGGGAATTCTTTCCTGGGTTGAGGCAATTGAAGGCTTCCAACTATGACTGGAATCCATAGACAGGGTCCAGCCTCTGGGGAAAGAGTCTGGGGAGGCAGCTACTTGAGTTGCTGGAGGGCATCTGCCCCCTAGCCAGACAGGCCTGATGGTGGGACCAGGCTCCAGGGCAGAGGAGAGCTGGAGTAAGAACTGAGAGCTGAGTCAGGAGCCCTGTTTGGTGCTGGAAGTTGAGAAAGAAAATTCAGATGGAGCTTGGCGGGGGCTGGGAGGATTGGGGAGGGTCGGGAAGGGTCACAGAATACCTACAGAAGAATCCTCCACTTTGAGCCAATATAAAGTAGTTCTAGATCCCACCAGGTGTGCCAGTAGGGCTCCTAGTGTCCCTTCACATCTGGAACTGCCTTGGGGACCACAGTTGGGCTCAGCAGAGTGGGACACAAGCGTTCAGTAAGCACTGATGTAACATTTGGTTTGTGCTGAGTGCTGAGGAACAGAGAGCAATCGCCCCAGATCCTGACCTTGGGAACCTCAAAGTTCCATGTGGGCACACAGGTCTGCGGGGGGTCTGTTTAGCCCTGGAACCATGGGTCATGGTCTGACTCACACTCACATGCCTCTCTTCCAGGGCCATGTTCTGCAATGATTTAAAGGAAAAGTATGAGAAGAGGATCGTTATCAAAGGGGTCGATGCGGAGACCATGCACACTCTTCTGGACTACACGTACACCAGCAAGGCGCTGATCACCAAGCAGAACGTCCAGCGGGTCCTGGAAGCTGCTAACCTTTTCCAGGTGTGTGAACAAACAGGCCCAGTGCTCTCCTCTGGAGTAGGAAAAAGCAGCAATTCTCTGGAGATCTGCCTGGCCTGAGCTCCCAGGCCTGGACCTGAGACACATGCACACACTTAGCTGGGCCTGTGCTTGCTCGAAATTTCCTGAGAGGTGGTGACCTGGGGGCATGAACTCCTTAATGATAAGAAGCCAGGCAAGCTTTCTGCTTAGAACCCACACTTGGCTCCTAACTCCAGGAACAATGACTATAATTTACAGAAGCCTAATTGGAGCCAGAGGCTGCAGTCACCACTTCATATATGCACTTTCCACTCCTTAGCACAACCCAGGGGGATAGTTACTTTCCCTCACTTTATGGGTGGGGAGAGTAAGGCACAGAGAAGTGACAAGGCTGTTATTTGAACTGAAAGCTTTCTGAGTCCAGGGACCACATGCTTGCCACTATAACGTGCAGTCTCTCGGGGAGCAGTGTCTGGATTCCGGAGAAAGCAGGACCTTCACTGGTCAGCAGTTTGTGGTGGGTGTAAAAGAAGAGCACTTCTTATAGAAGATGAGGTAATAATTTTATTTTGCTTCATAAAAGAATTATACTCATAGATTACGTCAGTTGCATCCACAGTGATCACAGGGGTCCCATCCTGAGATTCCATCTTTGCTGAGGTCTAAGATTACAGTTTGAGCTCCTTTCCATTGGGTTACAACAGAGATTGTCCCACTGAGGATGTTGAAATTTATGATAAACAGAGGCCAGGTCATTCCCATCAGATCTTGTCCATAGTTTGGGACTTTGGGAGTTGGCATCTTCTTGGATTATCAGTAGGTCAGCAGTTGGAAGGAACAGAAAACAAAGTCTGGGAAGTTGGGGAATAAGAGGTCTAGGGTCAAGACCATGGGCACTGGGATTATCTTTGTTGAGGCTGGAGTCTACACAGGATTTAAGAAGTCCCGCAAGGAAGGGAGATTGGAAAGAGGGAGGAAAATCAACCATGGAACAGCACTGATGAATTCTGAGTAATGGGTTTCTGCAGTGTTGGCCAATTTTATTGTCTCACTTCCCTCTGGGCATTTTAAAGATACAGAGCAAGTTACTTCCTGCAGGACTAGTCATGCCTCACCTGGCAAAGTGGCCAAGTCAGTTACCACCTATACGCTGAGCCCCTTGCCATTTCTGTCCTTATCTGCTTATACCCTCAGCCTACTGATTGGCAGGGAAACGCCCCGTGTTATATGGAGGGAGGGACTCAGGAACCTCCTGCTCAGCATCCCCACCTCACACCTCCACCCTAACTACAGGGAACTCCTTCCAGTGTCATGGAGGGGCCTCTATCTAGTTCAACTTTTATGCTTTTTTAGAACCTTCTCTTAAAAGGCAAACACCCACTTCTTCAATGCTTCCCCCAAAAGGACCAATAACCTTGCCAGAATCACCCCATTCACCATAGTCCAATCAATCCACTTCATCCTAATCTCCTTTCTTGGGGCCCAGAAAGGTTGCTGACTCATCTAAAGGTGGACAGGTAACACTGACAATAATAATAGCATTTATTGCTTCGAGTACAGTGTCTGACACCAGAGTAGACACTTAATGAATACAAATTGTATGAGCAATTACTGTGTGCCTTGAGTGACAGAGTTGGATTAGTAACCAGGTTCCTACTTTTCCCACTAACTGAAATTAGGTCCTAGATGGTAGGCTGAGGAGATAATGTTGTTCTTCAGAATGCAGTTTTTAATATTTATATGCTGTAATAATACTACAAACTTATTTCAGAAAAATTAGAAAGCCATACAAACAAAAAGAACATAAAAATTACCTGCAATCCCTTCCTATCGAGACAATGTGGCAGCTTCTTTGGTGTATAGACCTGGTGTAATGTCCTTTCTGTGCATTGACCCGTATAGAGGCAGCCAGCAGGGTGGTTAATAGCATATCTTGGAGCCAGACTGCTGGGTTTAAATCTCAGTTCCACCACTTATTAGCTGTGTGACTTTGGGTAGGTTTTATAATTTCACTGTGCTCTGGTTTCCTCGTCAGTAAAACAACTAAATCAAGGAATACAAGAGAGAGGAGACAGGAGAGAAACATGGAAAGGAATCTCTCTCTGAGCCTCCAGAGAGAGCCGGCCCTACTGACAACTTGATTTCAGACCCTTGACTTCCAAAACTGTGAGAGAATAAATTTCTAGTTGGTTAAACTGCCAAGTTTGTGGTAACTGGTTATGACAGCCCGAGGAAATGAGTACAAGCTTAAAAAGTAAACTATAGCTAAAAATCTTAAAATGAAAAGCAGTGATCTCCTATTCCTATGCCCTCTTTCAGCCTACTCTTCTGCAACAATTGCTTTCACACATTTTGAAGTATTTCTGCTTTTATTTATTTCCAGATTTCTAAATGATTTGTGTACTCCATTATCTTCTGATGCATCAGTTTTGGATAACTTGTTTTCCCTCTGTCCTCCTGCTCTGGTCTTACCTGGGTGCTCACTAGGCCTGTTGCACAGCTGTTATCCTGGGAGTTCCTGTTGCCTCTTTTCTAAGTCGGATTTTCTCTCCCTGGATCCCATGTCTTCTTCTTTCTTGTATACGCTCACATTTTAATGGATCACAACCTTTAATAGCTTACAATGAAAGGGTATATGAGATAAATTTTTGAAACTTTAATGTCTAAAAATGTTTTTATTTTCTCTTCATATTTGATTAATATTTTGGCTGGGTATAAAATTCAAGATTGAAAATAATTTTCTTTTGACATTTGAAGGCAGTGCTCTATACTGTTACCTGTTACATATTTTATGAGAATAGATTTCTATTGGACCCATGTTTTTAAATCTGTTTATTTCACCTGTATTGTATTATAATCATTTTTTTCATGCCAATAGATTCATTTCTGCAACAGCACTTACGATTGCTGTGGGTCTTTTTTCATCCCTTGTGTTGGTTCCTTCAATTGGGAGACTCATGTCTTTCGATTCTGGGAACTTACATTTTTTCTCTGATATCTTCCTTTCAACTCTTTTTATCTAAGCTCTGGAGCTATTACTAGCTATTATTAGTTAGGTGTTGCACCTTCTGAATTTAATTTCATTTTTTTGTTACCTTTTCTTTCCTATTGACCTTTTTGTTCTATTTTCTAGGAGATTTCCTCAACAGTATATGTTAACTCTCCTGTGGATTTTTAATTTCTGCCACCTTATCCTTAGTTTCCAAGAGTCTTTGTTGTCTATTTTAATAGGGTCCTATTCTTATTTCTTTGAGGCTGTTATAATATATTTGAAGTTTCCTTCTGCTCTCTCTCTTGTGAGTTCCTTTACTCTGCTTAGTTGCTTAGGTCTCCGTCTTTCATCTTAGAGGGTGTCTCAGTTTCCTAGGTTTGCTACCATAATAAATTATCACAAACTGGGTGACTTAAAACAACATAAATTTATTTTCTCACAGTTCTGGAGGACAGAAGTCCAAAATCAAGGTGTCAGCATTACTCCCTGCAGAGACTGTATGGGAGACTCTGTTCTTTGCCTCTTCCAGTTTCTGACATCTCTTGACATCTCTTCAGTTGTGGCCACACCACTCCAATCTCTGCAACATGGTCACATCGCCTCCTCCTTCTCTGTATATTCTCTCTGTGTGTGTCTGTGTTTTATAAAGATATATGTGATTGCATGTACGGCCCACCCAGATAAGCTCCTCCTCTCAAGAAATCCTTAACTTAATCACACCTTGTGCCAGATAAAATAATAGTCACTCTTTTGCCATATAGGGTAATAGGCACAGGCTCTGGGATCATGATGCAGGCATATCTTTTGGGGCCACAATTCAGCTACTACAGAGTGTTTCCTCAAATACCCTTGGCTTTCCAATCATATTTCAGATTGAGGGCTTAATATGCTAGCCCAGCTCAGTGCACATGCTGTAGGTTGGGAGGCCAGCAGACTTGAGAGTTTTACCAGAGTTATCAGGTGGCCTACTGATTTTTTATTTGGGATCCTCATATGTCAGTATCTGTTGAACTTTTCCTAGGGTTGTTCAGCTTCTCCAGATAAGGATCTTCAGTCTTTTGCTGGAGGTTAAAAGACAGCTGCGTGTATTCTGGACAGGTGTGTGGATGTGTGCAAATCTTTACTTAACCCCTTAATTTTAAGTAAGATGTCTGCATGTGTCTTCCTCGGCTCCTGATGTCTCTGAGTCCAGAACCTTTTTGGTCTGATATCTCCAGAGGACAAATCTTCCTCTCCAGTGGGAGTGGGAGTTGCTAGACTGCAAGAGGTAGAGAGGAGAACCAGGAGGCTTAACTTCTTCTTAAACCCTGTTGTCAGCCCCTGTCTATCCTGGACTTCCTGGTATTTGGGGACTTTAATATTCCTGACTTTTGGGGTTCTGAGGGACAAACTTGGTGTGACATTAAAGTCACTTAACAGTTTTCACATTGTGTGGTTTGGGGTTACTGATGTCTCTTGGTTTCACTGAAGATGGAGTTTGTGTTTCTGTTTCTTGTTCTCCTTTCAGTTTTCGGTGATTTTTCAAGAGACCTATAAAAACTTTTTTGATAGTAAAGATTGTAATCTTTGGTAATAATGTTGCAAATATTTTCCATTGATTATATGACTCATAAATTTTAGTCATATTTTTATATACAAAGTTTTAAACTAGTATTTAGTCAGATATATTGATCATTTCCTTGATGGTTTTTGCCTTTGGTGTGCATTTTAAAAAAGACCTTCCCCATTGCTTGATTATGTACTTATCACTTATCATTTCTTTTAGTTTTGTTATATCTACAGATTTGATACTTTAATATTTAATATATCTGGAATTTTTTTGGCTTAAAGTTGTTTCTTTGTCTTTTTCTTCTTTTCATTTTCTCCCAAGTGGTGAGTTTCAGTGGAGAGTTTAATGAGTTTTAATGAGAGAGGTTGGAAAGGAGGACGGAGACAGGATAGAAACAGAGCAAACTCTTGTTTATTTTTGACGCCCCTATTCTGGTAATCCCTCGCCTCAAAACTTTCC